ACAATGTTAGAGGATTTGATGTCTGTCTTGTGTTAAAGCTATTGGTCAACAGATATGTTTTTATTTATTTAAAAGATACTCTCATGTGCCTTTATGTGTAAAATGCATATTTTATAGTGTACATGATATTGTATGTAACTGACTTCAAATATAAAACTATGCATAGAAACAACACTAGAAAGAAATGTAGTTTGGTTTACTTTTGTATTGAGGGAGGCAAATTTATAATATTTAAAATTATTTAAGTACCATGTTTTCTGCAAGTTTAAAATTAAGTGCTTTTATAAATGCCAGACGAAGACTAGAATTCCCGTAATATGTATAACCTGTGAACAGCCTGGAGCAGTTCACTTATAGAATACAACTAAAGCAATCAAATGCTTCTAGGTAGCAAAAGCTATTCACAAACTAAATTGTTTATATGAATAAAACTGTAGCTTATAAACTTTATCATCCTTGGCTTTACTTAGTAAATTGTTTTTGGCTAAGTGGAATATGCTTTGCAACTGAGATTGTGCTAATAATGGTTTAGTAGTTTATCAGGAAATATATTCCAACTGATCCAAAGAACAAATTCAAAGATTTTAAAATTTTCAATTAAGTATGGCATAGGTTATCAAAATAGCAATAATCCTATATCTTTACAGAAACAGAATAATAGATACCTGTTTTTGGAGGGGGGAAGAAAAGAAAGCCAGAAATGAACTTCCTTTAATGAAAGAGATCAGCTTATAATTAAATGGAAAATAGGAAAAAAGTTCATTTGCTTATTGAGGGCATAAGTTGTAAGTTCCATCTGTGTGCAGATGAGGAAACCATTTACAACCTAGGTAAATGCTTTGGATAAGTGGTTTCCAAATTTTTATTATATCTTCTATCAGAAAACATTTTTAATATACATTGATGTTTATGTTATTGTATTAGTTCGCTAGGGTGGCCATAGCAAAGTATCACAGACAGGTTGCTTAAACAACGTAAATTTATTTTCTCAGTTCTGGGGCCTGGTAGTCTGAGAGCAAGTTGGTGGGTTTGCTTTCTCCTGAGGCCCCCTCCTTGCCTGAGAGATAGACACTGTCTTGTGTCCCCACATGGCCTTTTTTCTCCACTGCCTACCCACCCCGGTGTCTCTGTGTGTTTGGTATTCGATTTTCTTCTTTTAACTTAACTTTTTAAAGGCCCGTCTCCAAATATAGTCACATTCTGAGGTTAAGGGGTTAAGGCATCAACATGAATTTTGGGGGGACAAATTTCAGCCCATAACAGTTAACATGCTTGTTCTACTGCACTATGTACATTTTAAATACACTTCCCTAAAAAAAGAAATTTTAAAAGACTACATAAAGCTTAATAAAAATAAAAGTCATTATATTTACTTCCTAGACACCGTGGATTGTCTGCTGGAGTTTGTACAGACCACATTGGAACCCAGAATTTTAGTAAAATGAGAATCTCACCTGATCTTTAAGCCTAAGATTGCCTGTAACAATGCTGTGTTCTCTAGCATTGATCACAGGTTTCCTGTTGTGTTTTTCTGCCATATATTTTAAGGAGCTGAGGGCTCTCTTGATGTCATATTGTATTACTACAAAGCCTGTCCTTTTTGACGACATAAACCTCTATATGAACATGAAGGGTTTTGACACACATTTTATATAAATACGAAAATTCATAAAACATAGCTAGTTTAGGAGTTATTCCATAAATTACTCTGAAATACTTCTTAGATCAACTGACCTTACAGTAAAATTGCTTAGGTATGTAAAAATTTGTTTCCTGCCTAGAGGTACGTCCTTACTAAGCTGCTCTTGGTTCTTTAACACTAACATTAAGAAAAGCACAAAAAACAAACTAATGTGACTTATGGTATTTGTGTCAGCTCAATGTCTTACGTCTGCAGTGGTTTAATGCAAGTTTGCTGCTAACAGTTTTTATTCCTAAAACTCAATGTAGAATTGTTTGTTCTTTAGTAGCTATTTGGGGTGGGGGTGGGGAGTAAAATCCATTAACATTCTCATGATACACATCTATTGATTCTAGATAGATTAAGAGGTTAAACATGAAAGATCAAACTATGAAGAGGTAAGGGGAGAAACAAGTGGCTTCACTCTGGGAAAAAATGTACAAGCCTGAAAGCAGTGGAATCAATAAACTCAATTTACAGTGCACACACAAAAAATTTTAAATACCTTCACACTTAAAGTCAAATGGTTATAAGAAAAATGGGGAAAGTATTTTAACATCTGACATGGTTATCTCAAATATAAATAAGATGATACTAAGACACCTATAGATAAGTGAACATGAGTGGTAATCTAAAATGAAATAACTGGTAAGTTTTGAAAAACCTACCTAAACTAAGGGCATAATTAGGCATTATAAGGAGATTATTAGAGATTCAGACAAAATTCATAAGCAAAATTGCTTATTTAAAATCAGAAAATATAAAGATGCTGAGTCCCAAAAATATGTGGTAAAATTAATATGACCTCTTTCCAAGTGTAACACATTGCCTTGCTCTAACAGAAATAAAGTATATGATTCTTACTACATTCTTAAAATTCTTTTTTTAATGAATGAGTATAACTTTTAAGATAGAATTATTTTTATTAAAGAAATATATGAAGCCTGTAATCCCAGCACTTTGGGAGGCCGAGACGGGCGGATCACGAGGTCAGGAGATCGAGACCATCCTGGCTAACACGGTGAAACCCCGTCTCTACT